GCAGACAAAAAACACGACCGTCTTCAACAAAAAAGAACATCATCAACCGATACAGCTGACGAAAATCCGGACCTTGACCAACCAAAACGGACATCATCAACTGACACAGCTGACAAAAATGCTGACCAGCCTGAACGTCGTCAACGGATTCCGCGAACAAAGTTATAAATGACCTGAACCAACCCGAAAACGAAGGAAGTAACAGAGCCATACGCACAACTCAAGAAGAACCGGCATTCACGATTCCATTATCAGAAAAGCCTCTCAATTATTACAATAACCAGATGAAAATGACATTTGTCCATTACAACCCAGGGCCAATCTGTTTAGAACAAGCGTTCGCAAATAAAAAACGAATTCATGTTCAAATTGGTATGGATGCATGAAAAGAAAATATTGTGAAATTCTTCAAAGACTGTATTCCCCCAAAAGTCAAACATGCTGTATATTCCGACCCTGACACCCAATATATGTCAACCTGCAATATTCTTTAGAAAATTTTCAGAAACACTGCCTTCAATTTGGTAACGAAATCTTGGAAGATGTTAAAAACGAAGACCAACAACAAATAATAATTTGAAACTACCATGAAGGAAAGTCAAATCATCGTGGAATAAACTAAATTGAATTGCTAGTACGAAGAAAATTTTACTGGTCAACCTTGGGAAAGGATATTGAAAGATACATCAATATGTGCGAAACATGTCAAATCAACAAGTATGACAAAAACCCACCAAAACCCAAGTAAACCTCTCGAAATTATTCACCTAGACACCTTTCCGACAGATGGACAGAAATTTTCAACAATTGTGGACGCCTTATCTAAATATGGACAAGCCTATCCATTAGAAGGATCCAATGCCATTAACATATTGAAAGCATTGCTGATATTCGTTACTCACCATGGTTCACCACAGATCATTGTCTCAGACAGTGGCACCGAATCTAAAAACGGCCTAGTACAAAAATTTGTAGATACACATAAAATTTTGATCCATCACACAACCCCGGAAAGTCCAAAGTTAAATGGAATGAGTATTCACTCGACCATTATAGAACATCTACGATTATTATTGCAATAATATCAAGGAACGAATGCTTGGTGCACTATTAGGATATAACAACACAATCCATTTAGTAACGGGACAATCGATGTTCTCAATGGACACTTCGATAGCAAGGACCCCTTCGATATCGACATCGAAAGGATTCTACAGAACAACTACATGCAACAACATCGAGATAAAACAAAAAGCTGTCTACCAAAAAATCACTGAAAAAGCTGTCAAACTGAAAGGAAGGATTATAAATAAACGAAATGAGAGCAGACACCATCCTATAGCCTACTCACCTAGCACAAAAATTTATAACAAAACAACAGGTGTTTGAAATGAGCTTTCACCTAGATTTTCACCATGTGTAGTAGAATCTAATAAAAATTAACAGTAGCCACACCCTATACTTCTTTTCATAAAGAGAATATAAAACACATCCCAAAACATAACAAGAAAATGGTTTTACATGTGCACTCTCGCATCGTGTCTAGAAATACGAATCCAAAATCTCAAAGACAACCTGGGAATTTTTCCCCTAAAGCTGGGAGAAGACAGGATGCAGACTAGCATTCACGACTTCCTGCACTACTATAACTTGACGCCGATTGCCGAGAAAATCGATCTAATACAAAAGCAATTCGATGACATCACTGAAGTCCTCACAAACAACCCGAGTTACCCCTACTTAGAAGGGCTCATCAATTTCAATCAAGCACTGAAATATCAACTGAAAATTGTATATCAAAAATTTTACAGCATCAACTCATCCCACGGAACCAAAAAAGGTCTAATCAACGGACTTGGCAACATCGTAAAATCAATATCCGGAAATTTTGATAAAAAATATGCTCAGTGGTATGACCAAGCAATAGCATCACTACAGAAGAATATATATAATATTCTACAGAGATTGAACCAGCACATATCTCTCACCACCGCACTCATAGATAATTTCAACAAAACCGTGGCATAACGACGATAATATCTCCAAGTAAATTGATAGAATCAATAAAGAAATCGATACAATAACATTCGATTTCAATCAATTTATGATGATCCGTGTTAGGAATCACACGTTGAAAGGTAAGACCTCGTTAGTCCTTAGCTCATACAAGTTTCTCAACTTCTGAGAGTTGTAGTTCGTATGGGGGCGACAGCTGATTTACGGAAAAACAGATTTTAAACAGACAGACAGACAAATCAGGAATATTCTAGACCAACTAAATTCGTCATTGCAAATAACCCTACAACTGCTGACCAACCTGGAAAATGCAATTGTGTTTGCAAAAACCAATAAGTACCTTGTATGCTAACATTACAACCAACCGAAATGAATACGATAATTCAAACGATGGCTTGACACCATACAACTAGCCAACTATTCTATACTAAACCTGACGACTTCAGAAAATATTACGATTTGATCACTGTCGATCCCAATGCAATAATCGTGTTTGTTCAGCAAATTCCTCTCCTCCACCCAGAAAAATTTACACATTTCCATTTATATTCAATCCCTACTAGTAATTTTACCACCATCATACCTCCAGCTCCGTATCTGACATTGAATGCAGGACCATGCAAGAAGATCAACCCTGGATATCTTTGCCAAATTCCAATCATTCGAGGCGACCTTCAGCCACGAGATTGCATTTCCCAAATTGTGCACCTCTCTGAAGATGAAGCCAGATGTCAACAAGTTCCGGTATCAATAAATGGTACCCTGATAGAGGAAATCGCACCAGCTCACTATGTTGGTATATTCCCAAAACCAACAAAAATATCTATTAAATGTTCCACTCCCGGAATGCAGGAATTGCACGGCACTTACCTTTTAGAAGTGCCTCCAGGATGCGGATTCGAGACACCCGAAGCCAACTACATCAATTCCAAGGACTTCACATATGAGCAGCCCCTAGCGTTGTCAAAAGTCCGAACAATTTCAATACCATGTGAGAAGAAGATGATGCTACCTATCCAGCTAGAGAAAATTCCCTTAGATGAACTTCACAACACCGCTAGGTTTTGAGGGTATTCCAGTCGACATTACACACTTTTAGACTACCCCTGTATTCATCATTGCTACAGCGGTAATTGGAATTTTGCTATTCAAATTTCGTCACACCAGAGGATCTCTGAAACACCACCAGTACCAGCTACAAGGCCTCAAGTTTTATTTCACCCTCATAAAATTTCTTCAGGAGTTGGAGAAGTTCCAATCTGATTCCACGGAGAATCGACAACGTTCATGATGGATCAGCGATACTCGACACTGCTGACGAAGATGATCTTGCATTTTTAGGCTCATGAGAATTTTCATTTTTGTATTCAGTCCGACTTGATACCTCCTAATTGTAATACGTGTTTTTGAATAAAATAAACTTTTCAAAAACTTATTTTTCGAAAACCAACTCTTAACTTATATCATATTTCAAAAATGTCAACAACATTCTCATAGTCTCACGCTACTTTTTTCCAAATCTTTAGAAAAAATTGAGATTTATGGTTTATGATCAGATTGTACTTCATGGTCATAGACAAAATTATGAAACGTTGTCAAGATAATGACATGTAATTATATTTCAACTTTTGTGAGGCATCTAGATGCAAAAAAATTGATGATTCATTTGTAAAAACATGCATCCTGATTTGAATCAAATATCTATTACAATGGACCACTAGTAATCAATGCTTTGAAAATATTCAATTCTGTTTCATGTTTCTTATTTTTGGATAAGGTGCAATTCCAGTACTTAATTAACATTTCAAATCATCGACATATTGTTAATGATTTAATGGTGTTAACGATTAACCTATTGTCAATCGTCAATCATCAGAAATCAGTTGAATTTTTAGTAATTGAAAAGCAATGTATGCGATCGAAATTCGATCTTCAGCATATGAAGAATTAAGTGGAGATCATTAAGAAAGTAACGCATTACCCAATTGTGAAACGCCATAATAATTATGTGAATCTTTCCACAATCACTAATAGGTAATTGAAATATCCATGCCCCAATAATATTAGAAACAGAAATTTCATTTAGACAAATTCACCATTTTGAATTGAAAATGCTATCATTCATTCCAGGTTCATCCCAGCTCTCAGATTCAATAAAAACTGAAAATAGTCATGTAAAATTCAGAACTTTTTGTAAGTAACAGAACTTCAAAAAGTGTTTTATTTTTTATGAAATGAGCTTGGTGTCTATTTCTTTATCATTGTACAAAATATATAAAAAACTTTAAAGAAAGAAAGAAACATATTTGATGGAATCAGTTTTAAAAACGCAACACGCCCGAAGAAGCCATTGTATGGATAGCGAAACACGTATTGCGTTTTCGTAAAACTGTTTAGTGAAAATCTCACAATGAAGTATTCTGAATTGTAGTACAAATCGAATCGAAAAAAGTGATTTTCGTCTTATTCAATGTTTTTATGAAACTAGTTGTTCCAAAATGATTTTTTTCCTTCTGTGTAATTCGAAGTTCATGTGAAAGTAGTCTTTCCAAAGGTTTTTTTCTTCCAGTTTATATCTGAAAGAGACTTCTGTGAACGCTCTATACATCCATTAAAATAGCTGCTATTGTATTTATATTCTTTTTTTATTTTCTTGAAAGTTTTCCACATTTTAAGTTCACTAATGAAGAAATAGAAATTGAAAAACTTTTTTCCCACAACACTAATTTCTCCTGAAAATATTGAGTTTTCAATTTACTCTGTATCTTCAAATGATCAATAAACTTGTGACTATGACTATGAATTAGACATTTGCTTTCTCACTCAAGAAGTATATACTGACTTGTTGTATACTCGATGGAATAATGGGCCACTTTCGATTCAGTCCTAATGGTTTGTTATGGCTTTGGCGCCGTGGCGGTGCAGCTCGTAGAAGGGGTCAGTGCGCCGGTCATTTATTAATCAATGCTGGTACACATTTTTACACTAGTTCAAACATAACAGAAAGCTATACCTTCCTAAAGTGTGATTATGTATAATAATAACGTTGTTAATCCATGGGGACTCAAAGAGACTGTGAATTTAAAGAATAATATTTCGAAATGTTGTCCGTGTTTTTTCAAGAGCCGAAAAGTGATGGACATCAGTGATTCCCTGTTATCCAAGTTAGCCACTCCTGTATTGATAATTACGACTCCTCCAGATTCCACAAAGAAGTGAGTTTTGGTGAATTTATAATTCAACATTCATTTCAATTTATGAATACAAACAAAACTTTGCCGTAAGGTCAAGGTCGTGAGGCTAATGTCACTTCACTGCCAACGCTTTTTGCGTTAGTCAGTTTCACTTTGTAGACAACAAAGGGAAAATTATTAACCAAAACTGAAAAAAATGTGCGCTCTCTTTCATCGACTAGTTCTTACTCGCGACTTTCTTCGCGTGGACAGATTTTGGTTTCCTAGATTTTCTAACGGCAAAATATTTTCAAGCATTTGCCTGAATAATTAGAGAATCAATTCACAAACTATATATACAAGGTAATTCAAATTCGACCTCTACGTCGAAGCTTGAATTGGGACAAAGTTGCGTTTTTTTGGTGCCTAAAAAATACGGTTTTGAAATTTGGGAAATTCTGATTATTTCCGGAAATATTCGAAAAAACTGAAAATCGTAATTTTGGTTTTTATTTTTTTTAACGTTATTTAACAACATAGCTCAAGACCAAAAACAGGTGTTTTTTATACTTTTTTTCAGCTACAAGTTTTCATGTTCAGAGTTACTATCCAACGTTTCGTCTTCTGGCAATCATCAACTTTTTTTCTATTATGGACGCCATATTGTTTTCAATACAAAAAAATAGTGCTTCTCATTCTGATTTTATTAATTTATAGTCTGTTATGTTTGTACAAAATACAGAATAATTTTCTATCCGGCTGTTGTCTTTTCGGAAATATTTCGAAATTAATTACCCTCAGTTTCCGAATTCAGCCCACTCGACCTGAGAAAAGCGAACGTCAGGCGCTTCGATAAGCCAAGGTCTCCAATGTTATTGAAGAAGACCCCATGCATTGGCTTATCCTTGTGTTTCCGTAGAAGTAAAGTGATCTCTGCAGCTTTTATCTGAACTTTTTGCTGAATGGGTTCCAACTCGGTGACAGAGTTGTGGTCACCTCGTTCAGAGTCGAAAACTATACCGAGTTCATCACCTGCTCGGGCAGCTGCCCTAAGGAGAAATGCTTCAATTCATGCTCTCTCATGGTCACGGGCCATGCAGAGAAGGGGATCCGAACTCCTGACGACTTTACAGGCTGTATTCAGTACCATTCTGTTATGTAGACCCTCCAAACTCAAAAGTCCACGGCCTCCCTGTTGTCGTAGCAAGTACAACCGTGAAATGGACGATTTGGGATGCAAACTCCTATAGAGGTGCATCATTCTTCGGGTCTTTGCGTCGAGTTGATACAGCTTCTCACGAATCCACTTCACTACTCCAAACGAGTAGAGTAAATTTGAAACGGCAAGCATATTTGTTGCAGCAACTGTGTTCTTCCCCGACAGTTCCGATGACCAGATCTGTCGAAGTTTGTGCTGATACTTGCCGCGGAGAGAGTTTTTTACTGCTGTTACCTCTTGTTACGTGCTGTTACCTCTTATTATTATTATTATAATCATCTCAGATTAGGTTGTTATTTTTTTCAATAGCTGTGGTTTCAGAAAGCCAAATCATAACAAATTATACATCAATGAAATCAGAATGAGAAGCACTATTTTTGGGTATAAGAAAACAATATGGCGTCCATAATAAAAAAATGGTTATGATAATTGCCAGAAGACGAAACGTGGAATAGTACATCTGATCATGAAAACGTGTAGCTGAAAAAAAGTATCAATGAAAACGTGTTGTTGATTTTCAGTTTGTTTCGGATATTTCCGGAAACACTCGAATTTTTCAAGTTTCAAAACACTATTTTGTCAAGTATGAAAAACGCAATTTTGCCCCAATTTAAGCTTTGACTTATCTCCTGTAGTTTAGGAGATCTCAATGGTGGGGGGTCGAATTTTAACTATCCTGTATATATGTATATACAGGGTGTTCCAAATTAAGTCTACACCATTGCCAACTCCGTTATTATTGATTACCCTGTATATACATCAAGTCGACACAATTGTCATCTCCGTTATCATTGATGCTACGAATTCGGTTAAATGGGCAAACTATTGGCATTTTTAATGGCCTTCTCGAAGCCGAAAACAAAAAAAAACATTGACAGTCGCGTTTTCAAAATATTTAGGTAATAGAATGATATTTTTCTAAATGGAACATTCTATATTTTATTATGCATTTCGATTCGTGAAAACATTCTCAACAACAAAGCTCGTATCACCTCAATTCCTTAAGTTGAAAACGAGCAATTTATATGAAAATATTTATTCATTTCACTAGTACAAAAAATTCTTTATTTTGGCAAATGAAACCTCATGATTATCCAAACACGAAATTTTGGTATTTATACGAATGACAATATTTTGTTACTAATAGCAAAAAAATAATTGCAATAGGATTTGAACTATGAAACCCGTGATCATCATGTCGTATCACTCACTCGACAACACCGAGCCATTGGGTATTAATTCACGAAATGATAATTTCCATTTCAAAGCCATTCCACTAGCCGTATTTATTTTGTGAATCAAAATATGACATTGAAGCCGTTTTTGAACAGACCAGAAAATACTGGAGCGTCATAATAAGGCAGTTGGAAAAAATGTGTTTGATTCCACAAAACAGAATTATTATCAGTAATCAAGTTGTCCTGAAACTTTACGGAAATTCTATTTGTCAAATATTCTCAAGTAGGTATATCATGACGATGTCATGAATTATTGTAACTGTCAACTACTGTTTGAAGCACCAGATTCTTTCACAGTAACTGCGAGAAGACGAGCCTTATTTTTTTTAAGCGTCAGAAGCTGTTTTCAGCAAAATACTAGTTGCTTGATCTTGTAATGGTTTATCCCATGCCCTCTGGTTTTTCATGTCTTCAATTTTAATTGTTTGGCCACTTCTGAAACCCAAAGAAATTTGCCACGACCAAATACACAATCAGATATTGGCTTTGGGTGTTGATAGATGATTTCTATCAGATTAGAAACACTGAAAAATGAGGACAGAAATGATGGCATAGCGAGTGAAGTGGATGAACGAATTCCTAATCTTCCTCTAGAAACTGGAAGTGATACCTGTAACCAAGTTTCGTCTTCGATACGGTTATTAGTTATGAGTTCCATCATCCTTTTTAATTCGTCATCGATATTTTGTAATCCCCGTTCGTCATGCCAAGTAGGGCTGCACCTCAAAATAAACGATAATTTTGGAACGGCTAATGAATTCTTCAATAAATGGAATGCGACATGTGTTGGTGAAATTGATAAACGTCCTGACATGACACGAAGTGATTGTAATTTTTCTTCCAAAAAATATTTTAAGGCTTCATCAGATAATGGGGCACCAAAAATAAACCAATAAGGTTTCTCAATCACTCATATACCAGGAGCTATTAGGTTAAATTGATCGATAATGTTAGGGTCTTGATTATCCAGAAAAATGAGTTCACATTTCTCGGAATTCAGCTCAAGTCCCAGGTCTTTCGAATGACTTATTGTGTTACGAAAATGTTTAAATACCACATTTGCTTCGTCACCAATTGAACCATCATCCAGACACCAGCCGTTGAATTCAGTGGATATTTCAGTTATGATATGATAGATAGAAAGACAGAACAATAGTGGTCCAAGTGAATCTCCCTACTATACTCCTTGTTCGGACATTATAATTTCGTTACCAAATATCAAAAAAAAAGGTTCACTGTAACATTGTTCAATGAAAGGGTATGTGACTCGTATGGCGTTAGCAAACGAATGTAACATGAAATTTCTGTCTATAGTATTGAATGCATTCTTAGAATCAATTTTCAGAAAAACTTTTTCAACTGGGTTTTGATTAATATAACATCGTGCAGCATGGGCTACTGCCTCGCAACCACCATTTGTTCCAAATCCAAATTGCTGGGGACGAAATAGATTTCCAAGACTTTCTCGTAGATTGAAATAAGCAAGTTTCGCTACTAAACGTCGATAAAAATTTCCAACAGATAAAGGACGTAGACCGCCAGTCTTTTTTTTGGCGCACATAAAGAAGCACGATATAAAATAGGACATATGACTTGATTGACCTTTCCGGAAAGAAGCATATTGCAAAGGTTCGTTAAAGAATTGAAAAGATGTTCACCACAACTAATGGAACTATAGCTTAGCATATCTTGAATATGGGACGGTCGCAATGAATCAAGACTTCCGCAAGAACCGGTGCGAAAAGATCTCACATCTACGCTACGCTACTAGAAGTTGTATACTGTCCAGAATTTTATAAACTTTCAGAAGAAGGATGTTTACTTCGTAATCCTTCCAATGTTGCATCATCAAATTCATCAGAACTATCAGTTTTACCGTCTGTTATTCAAGAAATTCTGAAAAAACATAAGATTTCTCTTTATAGTTAAGACATGTGCAAACACTAGAACTTATTGACCCTGAGAGACGATTGAAACTTCGTCAGTAGTTTATGAATAAATGCAGACAAATTCAAAACTTCTATAAAAATGTTATATGGAGTAATGAGGCGAATTTTTCAATTTGTGAGATGTTTATTAGAAATAATTTTCATTTGTGGAGTAGAAATAATCCATTTCTAGTCCATATCCACAATCCATAAAGACGATTTAATATTGATGTTTGGTGTGGTCTTTTTAGAGGCAGAATTAGCGGTTCATTTTTCTACCATGGTTCTTTGAACGAACCTCGTTGCATCAATTCATTAAGAAGAGTGTTGGAAACGTTTTTCCATGATCCTGATCTAGAGGTTCATCAGGTGATCTATTTTCAGTAGGAAGGAGTACCAGCACATAATTTCAGTAGCGTGAAATGAATGTTGCTAGACTGTTTTGGAAATAGATCTATTGCTACAAGTGACCCTGTTAAGTGGCCTCCTCGTTCAACAGACATGACATCTCTAAATTTTTAATTTTGTAAATTTCTGAGAAATCAGGTGTACAAATTGAAACATAATAATGTAGATGAACTGAAAAATTATATTGAAACTATAATTAATAAAATTGATGGCCGAATTGTGTTGAAATCAACACGCAGTGTCAAGAGAAGGGCCCAAATAAGTGTTCAACGAAAAGGCGGTATTTTTGAATATTTACTCGATATTTTATAGCTATTTATTCGCCAAAACAAATACATTTTTTGTACTATTGAAGAAAATAAATATTTCCACATATGTTGCCCATTTTCATCTTTAGGAAGGAAGGTGATATGGGCTTTGTTGTTGAGAATGTTATTCAAAAAAATATAATTATGTGAAATATTTTAAAAACGCGACTGTCAATGTTTTTCGTTTGTTTTTGGCATCGAGAAGGCATCAATAATAACGGAGTTGGCAATGGTGCCGACTTAATTTGGAACACCCTGTATATACATATATAAAGGGTAATTTAAATTCGGCCCCCACCATACGTCAAAGCCGTAATTGGGGCGAAGTTGCGTTTTATGTACTTGACAAAATACTATGTTGAAACTTGTAGAATTCCAAAAACCCAAAGTGGTTAGGACAATAGACAAAAAACATTGTTTTGGTTTCTATTGCGTTAATAAACACCTCAAGCAAAAGTTTTTCACGAATATATTATTTCTTATAATGATAGTGATCAGTTACACTTTCATTATACGTATTGATTTTGGGCACCCCACTGACACAGAAACGGAAATGAAGTAGTGAATCAAAATAGTTTGGATGTGTCTTGACTTCAATTAACCAGATACTCCACTGATTTGAATGATTTTCAGTAATAGCAGAACAACTTATTGAATATACTGAAAATCACTTTTTTCTATATTGAAACTTGGATATGTTTCCAACTGCCAAACATCAGACTAGTTAGGAATCACACGTTAAAAGGTAAGACCTCGTTAGTCCTCAGCTCGCACAAGTTTCTCAACTTCAGAGAGTTGTCGTTCGGCGACAGCTGATTAACGGAAAAACAGATTTTAAACAGATTTTTTAAACAGATAGCTGCCTGTTTGTATAAATCTTCATAAGTTTTATCATCTCCTGTTGACGCCAAAACAATGACTAGAACGCATGTCTTAAGAAACCTTTTGACAGTTTACATTTTTCATATTCCATTCTGTATGTGTAAATTCCTGTTAATTTTATCAATAATATCCAAATGAGTGAAATATTTCGATAAATAAAGGTGAACTCATTTTTTCCGAATTCATATGAACTTCTACCAAAAATAAAATTCATGAAATTCTGGAATAAAAATGTACACTGTTCATGAATGTTTAAACAAATATTTCGTGTAGCTGCATGGATTTCAGTTTATAGGTTTTTCGAGATTTGATTTTTTTCGATTTATGGGAATATCGTTTCACAAAATCATAAATATAGAAAATATAGAACAAAATTTCAGTCTAATCAATTGAACAGCATTTTTATACATTTTTTATTTTGTCAGTTCATGGTCCAATCTCAATAAATCTTGAGTGAAATCTTTTTGATATCAAGGTATACAAACGCGCAGACAGCGAACAATACAGGCTTTCAAAGCCGGAGTCACGGAGGTTCCATTCGACCACGGCCTACTAGCCAGGATTGTGTTCTCTTTTAGATAGCGATCAGTTACACTTTCATTATATGTATTGATTAGTTAATCTAGTAGTTTTGATGAACATTTGTATTTTAAATTTTGTGAGTGTCTTTCGGACTTTATTTCAAAAGCTGTTCACTTTAAAAATTAGGCAAATAAATTAAAACAAAACAAAACTTCGAATGAGAAATGTGGCCATTGCTCGTAGATCATTTCGTCAGATAATGGTTATTTTTGCTAATAGAATACTATACTTTTTCTATGACTTATAATAGGAATATTTTCAAATAAGATTCATTCGTGAAGAAAATCCCGAATAAAGTGAATATGAATATCATCAATGGAAAAGGAGGGTTTTGGCTTTTTACTTCTCCATCTTTATACGAAAAATGTGGGAATCTTCCAAAGAAAGAACGGAAGAAAGCAAATAATTCCAAAATGAACTCTATACAAAGATGTGTAGTTTATACAACTTTCAGATACAAATTGAAAGAGATAGCCCTTTCTAAAGAACTATTGCAAATATTCCAAATTCAAAAAAAAACCTCAAAAACAGAAAATGTACCAAAAGCATGTGTCATTTTGAGAAAAACATATTGAATTAAAAAAAAAGAAGAAAGTTTATTTTCATCACAGAATGATAAATGGCTATTTTATACTAATCAAAATAATGAGAATTACCATTTTTTTTAACGAAAAGAACAGAAAAAGTAATACATTCTCGAGAAAGCATTAGGTACATTCGAAATGACGAAGCAACTACAACCCAGATTTTCATCGTCTACAATATGACTATGAAACTTTTCGCCCTAACATCAGCAAACAGTGATTTGAAGATGTGATTCTACTTGGTGGCTCCGATAACATAGTTGTTTAATGCGCCTATATCGCGAACAGTGAAACCCCGACTACGAACCCCAATCAAATCACATTCTTCTATTCAATTTCTCTATCATTAATGTCTGCATACCGCTTATCCACTCTTTCATCATTAGATTCACGAATATTAATTTTCTATTCCTTACAAAATTTATTTTTTACTACTTACAGTACTTTGGAGAAATTCTATAAAAAGATCAAAATTCCTTCAATTCGTACGTTTTATCCCATCGTTTCATTATTATACGGTATGTTTTTGTTATTTTTGAGCTATCTTCTTAACGGGGAAACAATTGCCTCACTGGAGTTGTGACTATACTTTTTTCATTGTATTCTGCTCATCTATTTTTTTTCATTTGATACCCATATGATGGGGTGATGTTAATAATAAATCGTCATTTTGTAGCGTTCGCCATATTCGATTCAAATGGCAACACACTTACTAACTGACATACTAACAGGTTGAATTGAATTAAAATTGTAAAAAACAAGCGAACCTTATTGAAGGAAAATTTCAACAGCGGGAGATTTTCCGTCAATTTATTTCAATTCATATTTGGAAATGACGATATAAAGCTCTTGGTAATATTTTTGCTTCTATATAAAATTCATTGAATATTGAATAACTGATAGTTCAGGATCAGTTATAGTAAAACATTTATATACCTCGCAAATATGTTCTGAATTCCTCAAATGCTCGCCTATGTCGATATACTGTGTACTGCAAGAAGAAAATTTGGTTCTGAAGAAGCTATTGTTAGCGAAACACGTGTTGCGTTCTTGTGAAACAGTTGTGTGTAAATCCCACAATAAAGTGTTTTTGGAATATCTATTCATCTATTGAAAATTCAACAACAATAATCACACATTCAAACAATTCATTGTGTAGTTACACATCTTCAAGGGCATAAGATCACTTTTTTCCATTCCTAATTGATGCTATTTCTCCGACTCGCGACACTTCGCATGATTGAACTTTATGAAAATTAAAAGATACTTTATGTATTTTGTATGGTCCAGAGTCTCTTTCTGTAAAAGTAAATTTGTCTATAGAACAGATAATGTTTTCTATTACCATATATTTCTTTTAATATTTCTGATTAATTTCACAGATAGCATTCTATGTGTCCATTTTCCACAGATCAGCAGTTGGAACGACACTAGTAACTCCGATTACTCCTCGATTGTCGCCACGAGATAATTCAACTTACAGTAATGATACAAGAGGAAATACTCCTCCACCTCGCTCGTCTGGTTCAGAATCATCGGGTTATTTCACTCCTCCAACTGAAAATCGAGCATTTGTTAAATTAGATAGTGAAGCTCGATCATCGGAATCTGATGACAAAGATGATAGCATTGAAAATGACAAAAACAATAATTCTCAGGATTGTTTGAATCCTGTTAACAATGAAGTAGATCAACGGGATGAAACTGTCGTGGTAAGAATGATTATTTTTGAAGAAAACTCTGAACTTTCGATTCATTTTTCAAAGGCATGAAAAGAGAGAATATTCATAGTTTGATATTTGTATATTTTATTTCAGATCAAATCACCAACTATCTCAGAAGGATTTCGTAATGTTGAAGGAGAGGTGATAAAACACAACGAGTTGGAAGTACTCACAGAAAGTGATGTTTCGGAGGACAAATTCAAAGAATCACGGAGGTTTAGTATATCCAGTTCCAAAGAACTGTCATTTGTGGCCTCTAGTTCGTGTACAGATAAAATGAGTAAAAGTAGGTCAGCTGTTGATTTCCAGAGTTTTCTTCCTGAAATACCGAAAAGAAAGAGTGCTTGCTCTGCGCCACCTCTCAAAGATGAACTGAATATCTATAAGGATCTTATTATCACCAGCTATGAAGATATTACAGTATTTCCTGAAAAAATAGCTTCAATAGAGTCAGTTGTGATTGGAACAGAAGAGAATGAAATAGTCAAATCCCCCAAAGAAATATCAGTCACGAGAAAATTGAGCAGACGACTTTCGAGAACCCCAAGCAGAAGATCAACCAAATCCACACCAAGAAGTGTTCGTGACTTGACTCCAAAAAGCACTGCTATCAAACCAAAAGATTGCTTACAAACTGCTTTAGCACAGATAAATAATCAAGAATGGGAAGTGATGATTCAGGGCCTACAGGGTTTGACGAAGCTAGCAAAAAGTCATCCAGATGTCCTAGAAGCAAATATTCATAATGTTTGCGTATGTTTAGCTAGACAAATTAAAAATTTGAGATCTCAAGTAGCCCGTAGTGCCTGTCATACGGCATCGGAAATATTTCAGTCTTGCAAGAAAGGTTTAGAAATGGTAGGTAATTTTTTTTTATTTCACTTTATGAAAATGGAAACTTGAACATTTTCATTCGAACAAAAAACTCGGTATCCGTTCTTATTAAATTTTCCTCCTATTGAGAAACCTTCACCAAAGAAAAACGTATAATATTGAACGTACATTGTACCGAAATTTATTAAAAAAAGCCAAAGCGGTTTCAGAGATATCTGTAACTCAGAAATAAAACAGTTGCGAACCGCAATGATTATCGCCCTTCAGGTTAGCATCAATTATGAAACACCCTGTATTCAAATGAGTAAGGCAACAAAGTAGGTATCAACTCATCATTCTTCATTATTTTCAAAGACTAATTACTACAAATTTCATTAGTTTGAACTAATGAAATCCCTTCCAGAATGAATGAAAAAGAAGTATTAAAAATGAATATCTGAAAATAACAGTTATATTAGGAAAAAAAACTGGAATAAAATGATAGTGAAATAAAATACAAGTAAAAATAGAACAATTGAACAAAAAACAAAAATCAAAAATAAAAATGAAAAGTTGAGAGATTCCAAGCCAAGTTACTTCATGACGTTTCGAATATTATTATTCACATACTTCCGGTGATGACTGAACTAATTTCTCCGAGAGATGACTATTTCTGGGTCAATCGAGTATTTTCACTTATCTTCGCTTTCCTTTTTCCGCTTTACCGGTTTAGTGGGAGATGACCGTTTCGCGGGAGTTGGCCAATTTTCGCTTGATTATGAGTTTCCATATGTTGCGTATCTCTACGCTAGCTTGGCTGAATGTATGGACAACATATATGCGAATTCTTTGAATTTCCTCCTAAACCAATGTTCCTCCCTGTTTATGAGCTCAGCTTGGGACTACTCGATATTATGTTGATGGGTCCAAACATGCTCTGCTATTACTGATTTGCTAGTTTCTCCTCGCTGTGTGTGTTTCTTGTTCTCGGCAATGAGAACATTCAATGACCTCTTAGTTTCACCGTTATAGGATTTTCCGCACTCACAAGGTATCCGGTAAGTGCAATTCTTGGAATCGCAGCCCGCGCTTGGTGGCCTGTTTTTTGTGAGGCTGCTACGGATAGTTTTTCTGGATCTGAATCAGGTTCTGATGTTGTACTTGGATCAAATTCTTCTTATCCTTTTCAATAACCCTCTGATGTAGGGAAGTGCAAACACTGGTTGTGACGGCTGATCTTGAAAATCCTTCAAGTCAAAGCAGCTCCAGGTACAACGAGAGAAATAAGTGAAAAACCGAGCGGACTTTATTTTCATTAAGAGGTGACTTGAAAGTACCAACTTTATTGGACTGCGGATACACTTTCCATAAATGGCTAAGTGATGCTGCAGTCCAGCTGTTCAACAACTACAAGCCACAGCTCCTTTCAAACGCAATGTTCTGATAAAGTTTATTCCAAAGAGTTACTATGATTCAAGCTCACTTAGGTCCAAAGTGAGTGGATCTATTCGACCCTCCACCGCAACCCGCAAGCACACTTAACCCTTAGAATCACTGTCATAATCATTGAAACTGAAATTCATGTTGTACTGTTGATTGTTATCCTGGAAAAATTTACAATTCGATGAAAAGACACGCATTGTTTTTTTATAGTCAAATTCTTTTCATGGAATGATTCAGATGATGATCTTTAACGTAGATCATCTCTGCTGTAATTCAACAAATGTTTGGTAACATATTTCGAGGGATGTATTTATGGTGTCGGATATAATTTAACGCCCTTCGTGGCATTAGCCAGATGAGTAGTAGTTTTCTGGTGAGTGTCAGTCCATAAACCTACTGTGAAGGAAGGAAAGACTGGCCTGAACGAACTGTTTTTCTAGATACTTTGTAATAGGCCCATTCTTAGTGAAGACTGAAACTATTTTTATAGTCCAGGCATTTAGTGTTTGTTTTTCATAACCTAAACCGATGACAATGACAGATCTTCGTCCCATGAAATCCATGCTGCTTGGTAAGAGCCAAGTACTTCCAGAGCCATTTGACTGTTCGAGAATATTTTCATTGATTCATGTCTGAGGCTAGTTTCTCCCAATTTCTTCAGTGTTGTTAAAAATCCAGACTAGAAACAATTTTTTGAGTATTCCTATCGAAGAGAGAGAGTACTCTACCAACTTGGACGCTATTGTTTTGTGCAATTGGCGATATGCACAGTTCCGTATGTTATCTCCTTCTGGTAGGTCCATGAGTTATCTCATGACTACTGACAGTACTGATGGTACCAGGGATAATTTGGTGAATCTGTTTCTTTACACCGGAGAGCTCCTCCTGATCATTATGCTGTAAAGTATTCCACTGCCATGTAATCAATTACTCCGTACGTTAACATTGGTTCCACAATCATTACAAATATCTATGGATTTTTTCAGGCTCTAAGCACAAGCCCTAGGGATACCCACAAGTTTTTTGATATGTCTATACGAATGATTTTGTTTAAAAACTTTTCCAAGTTAGCGTTCCAGGTGATTATTTCAGCAAGGATAATACCTAGCTATTTTACCTTCACTGCAAATGCAATGAATTCGTCTTTGAATAAAACAGTGGTTGATCGTCCATTTTCTTTTTCCTGCTGAAGGGAACAGCTTTGTTGGAGATTCCAGACATCTGCTCTCTGTGAAACAAACTATGCACTTGGTCTAGGGTCCTTTGAAGGATATTACTGGCTACCCTTCCCGTTATGGTCCTTACAAGAAAGACAAAGTTATCTGCATAAGCTTATATATCAACTTATCAACTTCTCTTCTGTCAAGAAGATCATCCATCAGGGGTCACCACAGCATGGAGAATAACTTATAATCACACTGACCCGTTACTTGATGGAAATTAATGACACTATCCATGATGATAGTTAGCAGATTTTCATAAATAACATTTTTCGCTAACACCATAGCTTCATTGGTATTAATAATTATCATCTTGGATAGCATCGAGAACAGTACCCTACTCTAAGAGCAGACCCTGGTGACCCTGAAAATATGACCTTGAACATCTTGAAAAATCTTAATTTCCATTTTTTATGAGCATCACGTAGATCAGTTTGTAACTGAAAGAAATCTATAAGCATAATCTACACATCTTCACAGGGAGTAAATTTCAAATAAGTTACTTTCACAGTTTCTCAAGTTTCTCACATTTTCTCGTATAAAGACGGGAGAGTAAACAGCTGCCAAGCATTTTTTTAATTTGTCTTTATGATGGAATTGACCAATACTTGATGATAATCCATTACTAACGTATTCAAAAAACACTTTATTGTGAGACTTTCACTGAATAGTTTTACAAAAATGCAACACGTGTTTCGCCATACAATGGCTTCTTCGTTTTTTGGGCGTGGTAGTTCTCTTAAAAATCTGTAGTAGCCGCATCTGTTTCTGAAGTTTTTTTCGTTTCATTTCTATTTCTTATAGTTCTTTTCTAGTCATCTCTATCTCCTAAGCTGACCATTTTTTTCTAGAGTTTTGGTAAGATCAATCTTACAAATTGAATTTCTATCTCCCATTGAGTCTTTCAGAAATATGGAAAAAACATGAATGATCGAAAATGTAAGTTCTATTCATGAATATATTTTTAAAGATAAAAAAATAGGTCCCACTATAAGTCCATCGATTTCGAACTTAAAATGATAAATTAATCGAATATTTCAATATGTGACTATGTACAACTAAAAATAGTATGTTTATGTCAATTTTGTTTTTATATTTAGGTTTTCATGTTATTTATTGATTCAGTTTCATTTTCATTTCATGGTTGTGAGTATACAGTGCATTTCTTCAATGTCCCCCCCTTTTATTTTTTGAACGGGTCAACTCAAGAAGTTGGAATTTGGGATAATGAAATCAATGCATGAATACTTGATTTTGACGTAAAACTGATAGATGAAACTTCCAAGATGGCGACTAAGCGCCATCTGGGAAAAAAATTAAATGGAAAGGGGGGTCTTGTGATACATCATTGTGAAGCTCCTGACGAATACTTCACAACCCTAAAATATGAAGTCGATATTTTCACCTACTACAAAATGGCGGAACATTTAATAATTTCCAGAAGACAAACACATTAATATCAATATTTTTAGAGAAATATTCCATTTTAATCTGCCATATGGCAATTCAAACAACTTGATAAGGTTTGTTAATTTATTTTTTGTTTATAAAAACGACAAAAAATGTTAGTACGACAATGATCAACATTGTTCAGTTGAAAATAATCTCATTTAGTTTTCGTTTTCAGTAGTAGAAAGGTACCACGTCAACAATCTCTAAAATGGTTAATTCTCGTTTATTGGAAAAAAATTGAATTGTGAACAGTGTTGTGAATTGAAATGAAAATAAAATACACTTCTTTTCGAATCGATGATATTTACCGCCCCCTCAAAAGTAATGTAATAACTTTCACTGAAAACCTGGACAATTTTCTATCCGCAGTTGTCTCCACTGTTGATCAAATCATCTTTTTGGGTGGCATGAACACTAATCTGCTTCCAAACAACACATTAAGAGCGCTCCATACCTGCAACTGGAGCCTCGAACTGCATCTAACGGTAAATGTCTGAGAATATGGTAGGCGGTCCTATTTTTACAATCACAGACATACTGAACAAGGGACGCCTCCTTTTATCTTGATGGATATATTCATTACGCAAATCGACAAGTTAATGTTGTTGCGACTCGAATACACACACTACAGAGGGGGCACGGCAAACTCCATAGACGGAGCGTAATTGTTTTACGTTTGGAGATTAATTAATCGTTTAAATATTTTCAATGGTGAACGATGTTTTATTATTCTATTATTATCATGAGGCTATTGCCAGAATCATTTCATCTTCAACAAAGGTTGTCCTACATTGGTCGTAATAAAATTCCTTCTAGTTTCGAAAATGCACCTATATTATCAAACAGAAAAAAAATCTGAATCGAATGACACTTCAACCATACTTTTGGGAGACGGCAAAAAGTTTTGACCTAAAAAGCATTTGTGAACTAGACTTTTCAACGGTATGTTTACTGACGTGGTGGATTGCGAATTTCCAATTTCCTCGGGTATCTAGGATCTATCAATTCGGGCAGGAGGCAACTGTTGCAAAAATTTTCCAACTTTGGTTTCATTTTATTCGTCCAGAATGAATCGTCCTTGATAATCTAAATAAAATTACTATCAATTTTATAACGTCATGGAATATAAAACAGAATTGATACATAAAGTGCTCAGCCTATAATTTTAATATTTATAATCAGAAATATTTTTGAATGATTGGGGTGAGTTGTTGAAGGCAGTTAAAACATGGATGAAAACCAATTTATCGTTTTGATATCACAGATTGTTATAGGTATGTTACTAAAACTCACCTTTTCAACTAAAATTCCCAACGGAGTCCAAATTACAAAATAACACAGGGAACGTTGACTAATGTGTAGCCGTCCTTGTACTTGATAGTAATAATTATGATTTTGTTTCAGCAGTAAGTGTAGATTCTCATCTAGAGTACAGAAATTCATTATTTTTTGCTCGATTGCTTCTTTGGGGTGCATTTTTGACGGAGTTTTGGGGCACTTCACCTCAACAATGGCGTTATCTCCTATCAATCCATCAGGACTGGCTTCAAAAATATAGTCGTATTCATCAATGAACATTCCACAAGGTTCAACCTGTGACAAAATAAATTAATATTTACTCTTGTGTATCATTAAAGAAAGTATTACTTTGACATCAAAATCATTCTGTAGTTGTCTAATTGCGAATGGCTCATGTTCTCTTCCATACTTGGTGTTTTCGTTTCCTCTGAAGGTGGCATAAAGTAAGTTTTTCACCTTATTGACACAAGATGTTGTTTTTCGCATCTTGCAAATGTCACCAAAATGTGAAGCTGTTAAGCGAATACTTCTCTCCTGTTGCCATAAAGGATTGCCAGATTGACCTCTTGTATTGAGTTCAATGAGTTTTATCTCTTTGGCAGTTTTTTTTTAATGAATTGAGAAAATCGTATTTTTTTCGCTCGAATTGATCGGTAGATAAATCAGCATCAGGGATAGCGTCTGGGCCGTAATCCTTATCTGGCAGAGCATATTTCTTCTTAAATTTTGGTGGAAGGTCTTTATTCTTGCGTCTCGTGATTTTCTGAAGTTGGCGTCTCCTTTTCATCTTTTCTACATATCTTTTGGTATAAAATGGAACTTTGTGTTTTTCAACAACATTATAAGTCCCCATCAGAATTGAATGAAATAGCAGCAGCTTTACAACGTGTCGCATACGATCTTTTACGAGAATAGTTTATTCTTTTACCTCCAACAAACTTGCAGATGATGCTGTTGTATTATTCAGCGATATTGGTATCCAGATCCGCTATTAAGCTGGCCGCATTGAAAACTAAGCGGTTAATACAAACTTCAATGTCGTCCAATAGACCACATGATCTCATGCTGGGTATATGATCAACTCCATCTAATCTTGGAGAACACTTGAAATATGATATCTCCTGACATCTTTCATGCTGTCCAAATACATGTGATGGGACATTCTTGAGATCTTTGCATAGGTTCTCAACTTTTTGGACCAATGAAGTTTTTTCTTTAATCCTGAACATCGTAGCAGATTTTATTGAAGTGCGTAGTCTACGGGCATTGCTTTCAACTAGTTTCCTTAGGCCTCGAGGTACTAGCAAATTTTTTGAATTACACACATCTTCCGCGAAAAGCTGGAAGCATTTCATCTATAGTTACGAACTCAGAATGCTGATACCCTTTTACACAATGGGATACAAAGAGGTCAAATATCTTACGAATTGGTGGCAATTTATCCAACGCTCTTCTCTCTAGTCTAGTCTCAACATTGTCAAAATTTATATTTCTCAATAAAAATCTAAATCTTTGTAAAGACATCGTCAAATAAAAGATTTCAATTCCGTTCAATTTATTTCCTTTCATAATTCCAGCCATATAAATTAATCCCAACAAAGCACGAATTTCAGTGACATCAGTTTCATTTGCATCTCTTTCCCACATGGATGGCTAGAAAAGTGAAACAATGAAATAAATAACAAAAAAATAAAGATTTCAGTTACCTACTTACTTCACCCGTAAAAATTGTCACGCGAGTGGTCGCGCCGGACTGGGACACCGGTTTAATTTTTGTAATCCGATACACAAACTCCACAACGATCAAACTTAAACTGTTGATTCGTTATTCGTTCCTTCCGTCGCTACAGCTACTGCGAAAGATGCGCCGGTTCTCCCACCATCTCCCTCGGATTGCTCAAATAGCTCAAAACCCGGTCTCGTAGACAGGTA